CTCGGCCAAAATCGCTTAGGCGGTTACAGCGCCAAAAAAGAAGAAGAAGAAGAAGAAGTGGTCATAATGTCAATTGAACTTATGGGCTTGGGCCTTAGGTTAAGTTAGGTTATTTCGATTGTACTCATCGAGCACAGGAAAACGAACACACTTAGGTCCATTGTGAAGTCATATTAGAGCTCCTTGCGCTCTCCTCTTCCTTAAACAACAAACCGTGTACTGATTAACTGACCCTTAGTTTCGACGAAATTGAATTGATTAAACTGAAAATTTATTGATTACGATTTGACATTAAAAGTAAGCCAGAAATCCAGATAGTGTGAATGACATATTAAGCTACAATTCAATGTACGTATGTATGTATATGTATATATCGCTAATATTATATATTCGCTGTCACATTATGTTATACCAGGGACGGAAAATAATCATAATTTGATTTCATTTCAATCAAAAAATCAACATGTTGTAAGCATCGTAAAACAATTTTAACTAATTTCATATGTATACTCACATAATTGTATTTGTATGTCCTACTGTAATCTAAAATGATTTTAATTAAATAATAATTATCTAATATTTGAGTTTTATTTTATCGCACAAAATAAATTATTATTACTTGATTTTTATTTTTTCGCTCAAAGAAAATAATTATTTTCACTTAATACTGATTATTCAAAAATAAAAAATCTATAAATACTAGCGTGATTTCCAACGCAGCCTTTTCAGAGTTAGATACAACCTAATAAAAGGAATTAATATCGAAGATTTGAGGTCCAAATTTCTGTTGGTGACGTCTGTATGGCCTTTTGAGTTTTATAAGTAATCTTTATTTTTAAGTGGAAAATGAAACTCAAAAATAATTATTATCTCTGAGCGAAAAAATAAAAATCATAAAATAATCATTATTTGTGATCGCATAAATGAAAATCACATAATAGTTATTTCGTTGAGTTTTAATTCAGAACAACCACATGGAAAAAAGTTTAGAACTAGAACGATGAATCCGCCTTCATAACTATTAATTTTAAGTGAAAAAAAATAAAAATCATAAAATAAGGATTAAATGCTGATTTAAATTTTTTCATTTATAATGACTACGGTCACTCTGTAATTTATAGCAACTAAAATTCTTCAGTTCTACTTAAATCCAAAATATGATTTGAAGTTCATTTTTAAGTACTATGTATATATGTACGTTAATTAGCTGGTATAATAAATATTTATTTGAATGGTGCTTATCAGTCTACAAGCATGTATGAACATTAATTCGGTGATTAATCGAAACGTGAGCAAATAAGCGAGGGAAAACTATCGCAGAAAGTACAAAGTAAAAATAACAAAAATTTATTTTAATTAATTGTCACCGCATATGTTGAATTTTGTTTGCAAATTTTATGTTATCATTCTACTACTGTGTTTGCCACCCAGAATGAATAACTTTTTTAATATTGTGCAATCAAGTGAAAGATCAAAAGACATACTCGTGTCATGAAAATATAAGTACATATAGCTGCGAGTAAAATGATAGCAGCAAAATTCAAATGATGATGTTGGCAACCTTTTTTTTACTTATTTTTAATAATTTTCATTTAAAATAAGAGTCGATCTATATAAGAAACCACATAAATGAAAATTCCAAAGCTTGCACAAAGTTCACAAAAATAATTAAACTTAAAAATATGTTCACCAACATTTCATTTTTTTAATTCGATTCCCTTGAAAAATTTTGCGTATGCGGTTTTGTAGCGCATTCAATTTTAGGGTGCAAGTTCCAAGCCGCTAAAAATTACCGTTGATTTTTTGGATTTTTTGTGGAGGCGCATTTTCTTCCATATATATACAAATAAAAGTTCTAAAGAATCAACGGAAATTCTTAGGGATTTGAAACTTGCACTTTTTTTTACTAGAATTGAATAGACTACAAAACTACATACTCAAAACTTTCCTAATAAATATATAAACATAAGTTGCCAACAGCATGATTTGAATACTAAATAAAAAAAACTATTTAAACTCCCGATTGGTGGAAATTCGACCCGAATATCAGTTAGCGAAGCAACATGTCATCTTATATATTAACTAGCAGACCCGGCGAACTTCGTCTTTCCAAAAATTATTTTTTTTTATAGAAACATGGGACCAAATGTTTCACCAACAATTCACTTTAACGTTTGGTTTGGTGGTCGCCAGAAGTCATATCCTCTATTGCTGTCTTAAAGCTTAAACAGACGGCAGCGTTGATCGGGATTAACTGGGGCTTAATCCGGATCAACTGCAGTTAATTTCCGAGTTGATCTGGATCAACGCTGCCGTCTGTTTAAGCTCTTAGATAACATAACGAAAGCGTTATGTCCGTGAAGAAGTTCTTGCGACAACAATGATCCGGTTAGTTGGTGGCTATTTCAAAATGGGGGAGTATTATTGGGTCGACCCCAGTGGCACCTTGCGGCTTACGAATTTCTATATATCTCGAATATGTTCCAAATCGAATCATAAATACGATTTACAGTAATAATTCGACTGCACTGCCACCTGGCTTTTCGAGTTGTGAACCTAAACTATATATGTACCCACTCTAACACATAAGAAAATTTCATTAAAATCATTCCGGTCGTTTAGGAGGACACACGTACCGAAGAATTACCCTGCAGGGAAAGCTTCCAGTTGTGAACCAGAATGCTACCAGTT